AACTGGTCTGCCAACTATCATAGATCCATTAAAGGATCAATCAAACAATAACTGTCTGAATCCATAAAAGCCCCCGTCAGACACAGTCAAGGCATTAATACCTGACTTTGCGAACAAAATCATGGATCTGATTCTAGTTAATAAGAAAATAAAGATCACAAATTGGGCAAAATTCCGTTTAAACGACGGGTATGTCAGCCTTGACTTAACCAAGGTGGACTTTACACAGTTAAAGTGTCCCTCGAGGAACTATGTATCCTGGAGACACGAGGCTGTGGTAAAAGAACAAGCGATGTCTTAACATTATCTGGTTCATTTATTATTATTATTACAATCTGTACTCAATATCAGTGTTGGCTCGTATCTTACAATCTGTACTCAATATCAGTGTTGGCTCGTATCTTCTTTCTATAAAGTTACCAAGGAATATGCAAAAGATTCGACTACTAATCAGAAACAAATTAAGATAAGCCATGTTATTTAGTAGGGACGAATCCAAAATAGAACTAGAGCTGGACTAGAGTGGGTCTGATTAACCTGGGCGATGGATGCGGCAAGGGCGATTAATTAGAAAAATTTATATATTTAAAATATTTGGGGGGTTTTTAAAATTTAAAAAAAAATTGTATAGTGACTATTAGTGAGTGTATTTTTATACTGTATATGCATAGCCTTCTGAAAAAAAAAATTGAATTTACTATTCAGAGGGCTTTGGAAAATATCATATTATATAAAACCCTTCCATTCGTTCTATGGCATACAGACATCATGCACGAATAGAATGAAATATATATTGTTCAATTCCTGCATCCTACATAATCTTGTTACGGCAATGTTATGAACTTTTATGATGCCTGTTGCTGACTTTTTGTCGACTATTTTAATTGAATATATCCTTCGGACAATAGTCCGATCAAGCATATTATTTTATTTCTTCTCTCTAGTAGAGGAGAGATATTTTTTTTAGAAAACTCATAGCCTTCTAAAATTTAAACAGAAAACTACGTTATATTCTCATATTTTTTTAAAACCTAAAAAACAGATCTTTTATGTTTAGCTTTATATTTACTCATTTCGATTTTTTGATTTGATTTTGTTTTGTTTTTAAACACCAAAAACAAAACTAAAAGGACAAAAAAGTTACAAAACTGATAAAAATTGGAAATGATTAGCTGAGGAAAAGTTTCCCTCTCGTCCAAGGAGTCCAGGAGTCCAGGAGTTCAGGACTCCAGGCGGCCAGGCCACAGGCCCAGGGCCCGTCCAACCGCCCTCCGTCAGTACGAGATAGTTCGCACTCAGCACTATAACTTTTTGAAAAAAAAGGGCATTTATTCATTTGGTTGTTTTTAAAAATTAGAAATAAATTTAAATAAAGGAATATCTTTATACGGCACTGGTGACAATAAAATTATTAACCACCTCAGGCCCAGTTTCCTACCAGTCTCATACTTGTACTTTTTCGAGTTTAATTTGTTCAAATATAGATGTATTAATGTAATTAGCGTGATTTTAAGTCTGCACTTGTGAGATGTGGTTGTTTTCTGCCGGGTTGTTTGTTATCTGTCGGCTGAAAGCGCTCGACTTAAATGTTATATACTGTAGCGTGGATACAACCCATTTGTTGCACTTATGTTAGGTCCTTGTCGGTCTTAAGGGCTTGACATATGTTAGCAGTTAGACACATGTATTTAGGCGTCCTCTGTCTTAGCTATTGCTTCGGATCCGCCCATGGTTTTACAGTTAACACTATTCGTGTTTAACATACGTCGACCTCTCCTCTGAGGCCGGCAAAGAACAAATACAACAAGCGCAATAAATGGGCTAAAATCACGCTAATAACATCTTTAAAAAGGCAAAGTAAACTCAAAAAAGTATAAGTATGAGACTAGTAGGAAACTGGGCCTGAGGTGGTTGAAAGAAACACATATTTAGCCTTCAAATGAATCAAACATATGCAACTAAAAATAAGTATATATATATTTTTTAAATAGACAAAAAAACAATGGGCAGTGGCCGGCGGCCAATAGGCACGGCCGCATGGGGCAGTATTATAACTGGGCACACTTCAGTTGTTCAACAAGCCACACATAAGCGAAGCCAGGCCATTTAGGGGTTTAATTATGAGATTGGATTCATGGAGCAGTGATGCCAGTGATTCTGTGACTGAAGAGTACACATCAGGGCACAGGTGACAGGGCCATGGGCCCAAGGCCCAAGGCCAAGGCCCACAGGCCCAGGAATCCAGGAATAAAAAAAAACCAACAAGCAATAAATACAAACCTAAAATTTCTATTTATAGAAGGCTATGGCATGGCCCATCGCCCCACCCCTCAGTACTAAATACCTCTTGTGATTGTCCTTGATCCTGAAAAATCAAAATGACGCGAAACGCACTTTTGTTTCGCGTTTAACTTTCAGGGAAGTAAAGGATTTCATTGGCTAATAGGCCTTGAACAAAAATTTGAACCCCTTTTAAAAAACAAAAAATACCACTATGGGCTGCCTATGACAGACTATACATCACATAATTTCGAAAAAATATGAAGGGCGAAAATAGCCGTAATTATTTAAAGAAATACGTAATATGACACAATTCCGGATTTCAGAAAATAATAAATATGGGTCGAAGACAAATTAAATTTTGGGAATTTTTAGAGCTTAATTAAGAATTTTGTAAGATTAAGAAATCACGCAGTTCTGAATAAGAAATAAGAATTAAGAAGTCAACATACCTTAAATAAGGAATATGGAATGAAGTCAACATACTTTGAATAAGGAATATGGAATAACGGGATGATCCCGTAATATGAAGAACATGCCATTTTTTGATTAAGGGTCGATTTAGAAGTCATTATCCACTCACCACTGTTAATTTTCCTACGTGACTCACGCGGACTCACGCCCCACATGGCCCGGCCTTTGCGTTTCTTAAATAAGTTTCCTATTGAAAACAAAATTTAAGACTCGCATAGCAAATAAAGGTAACCGTGTGGGAGTCTCTGGGAGATGAGTTAATACATTCGGGATGGCGAGTAGTGAGGCAGATACACTGATTAGGGGCCTTAGGGCAAAAAATACTGAAGGACAAGGATCTTGAAGAGGGCAAGGCTCCGGCAGGGGGCAAAGATCCTGAAGAGGACGAGGCTCTTGAAGGGGATGAGATCGAAGTGGTGGCAATTAAGGGCAAACGAAGAGCCAAAAGAGTTCAAACCAGCATCTATGATTGCACAAAGTTATACAGAAGTTTAAAAAGAAGAAGTAAAACTTGATTTTGTAGCTGAATACTTCACGGCGTACAAAACCAATCCAACGAAATTGGCTTCTTGTAATTATTACGATAATTTTAAGCTTTTCGCTTGGAATAGAAAGAAAGAAAGCAACACCTTGATCCACTACGAGGGCACGCATGGGAAGGAGTGGTATGACGACTTGAGCAAATATGTTGCAAAGATAGTAGAAAAGCGAAACAAGACTTCGAGGCGTCAACAGAACCTTACGGCATTTGGGGCTACCCCGAATCGACTGCCACAAGTTCAATACAATACGTCTAAAAAGCTTGCCGACCTACATTGGGCTCGTTGTGTGGCTTCATACGATCTTCCTTTCACCTTAGGGAGGCAGGCTCATTTTAGAGAATGGTTGGCTGCTGCAGTCGCAGTATCAACCACTGCAGACTCCAGTTACAACCTTGGTGCTCCAGAAACCCTTAGAAAGTATCTAACAATATTAGAGAAATCTGTTAGAGATGTAGTATTGAACAAATGGAGAGACGCTCTACGATATTACAAACTCCCTTTTTCTAGTCTAGAGAATGATTTATGGAAACATGCTACCGGCACTAATTACCTCGGTAGCATCTTGCATTGGTATCAACCTGACCCTGTTGGATCACAACCTATCAGAATATCGGCATTCTTAGGATTGAAAGAGGTGGTAGGTTCTCATTCGGCCATAAACCTTTCAGAATGGCAGGTGCAAGCTCTTAGAGAATGGGGGATTCTAAGAACAATGCCTGACACTCATTTTAGAATTGGTGTCTTAGGTGAGAATGACTCTGTATTGCTGCATCCTAAACAGGTGATTCATAGTGCGACGCCTGATAATGCTGCGAATGTTCAAGCAGCAATGAAACTCACAGCACATGTCACTATGGGTTGTCGTGCTCATAGGATTGCCCTCGTAATGAAGAAGGCATGTGGGGGAGCCTTGATTACTGCGACGGATAAGATGCGTGTTGTATTTAATGATAAGCGGAAGGGCCTGCATAAGCACAAACTCAAGAAACAGCTCAATATACTGGAAGCTTTATTTGTGGCACCGAAATTCGATAGCAACGAATATCAAACATGATATAATTTTGTGCCCAGCGAGCCGCGTACTATAATAAGCGTACGGTAGGGGCCGATAAACTCGTGCAAGCTCAGGAGATGTTATTATACGACAATCTAGCTAGAGCTATAGCAAATGGCGGTGTCCGGTGGTCTGGTGTGTATGAAATGATCGGGTGTGATGGCTATCTTTGTACAGCAATCAGGAAGCTAATCGAAGATCCGAAGGAAGATGATAAACATACTGGATTATGGGGTGATGAAGACGGGAAGATACGAAGAAAAACAATCAAAGCAACCAGGAATCTACATGAAATTCGGAGAGAATGGATAGGGTTTAGGGCTTTTAGGATTTTAGACTCATACGAACATATATTAGATTGTAAGCTATTACTTGGTGCTGATGTAAAGATCGCTGTCAAAAAAGTTCAGGACCTAATCTAGATACTGAAGAGACTGAAGAAAGAGAGCTTACCAACGAAATCCAGGGCTATCGAATTCGTATGAGGGAAGCCATGACTCACTATTTCCCTCCAAAACTTGATATCAAGACCCTCGTCAACTATTACTTGCACCCTCTACATAAGGGTTTTGAATCCCTGAACATGTATACAGAAGCACAAGTATCGGCTATGCTGGAAGCTAAGAAAGAAATATCAAAGAGATGTCTGACAATATTAGAGTCGGAATTAGTACTATCTGAGTATCTTAAAGGAAAGGCATCGTCTTACACATCTTCAGGTGAATTGTCAACACCCATCGATAGCAATAAGCGAACCACTGATCAACTAATGGCGAGTGCTGTAGAATTGCTTGACCACGATGAGATAGATATCGACCAATTATCACCTGTTAGTAAACGCAAACGAATTCGGCTTGAAAGACGGCAGACAGCTATCGCTGATAAGGATGGGAATACTCCTGGTTTGACAAATGATACATCAGCTATGAAGGCTAAAGTTAGGCGAGAACTAGAGACATGGGGGAGTGTTTCTTGTGTAATGTCTATGACTATCCTCGTGCAAAAGGGTAGAGGTCGTGCGACCAAAACCGAGAAACAGGAAGTACACCCAACTCGTCAGGCATTAGAATACTGGGCTGGACTAAACGATCGATTGCCCACTCTATACATGGTTGTACTCCCATCTTTTATTATTTTGCCGACCTCCTGTCGCTCAGAGAGTATATTTTCTCTGAGCGGCAACGTCCAAGACAAGAAGCGAAAGGCTTCTTTTAAAGGTAATAACGTGTGTGTATACGTGTACGTTTTGTGTGTGCGTGTGCTTGTGTATATCTAATATATATATATATATATATATATGCGCAATGTATGTATGTATATATGCGCAATGTATGTATGTATGAATGTATATGTATATATAACT